AAAAACTTAGTCAAGAATAAACATTTTCATAATGTCGAATATTTGTTTTATTTTATTTTGATTTAGTTGCCTGTGCATTCGGTTAGGAGATGACCGGATGTGGCGGTAACACCCGTTTCCCATTTAATATTATTTCCGCTGCAAAAATTTTTATCTGTTTTGAAAGAATAAATCAATTTTATTATCAATAAATCTATTATTTCAAGTACTATTTTGGGAGGGAAAATGGGGGTGTTACAAATTGGTATCAGAGACTTAGGTTGTTTTTCTGGGAGATTTTTTTCAAAGTTGTTTTCCAAAAAGTTTTCTTAATAAAATTTCAAAAAAAATAAAATAGGAAAAAGAAAATGATTAGGAAAAGACATATTAGAAACGAGGTGAGGATTGTGAGACTTTAAAGTTATTGATCTGTATGATTGAATTGTGAAAATTCATGGAGTTACTTGCTTGTGTGTAATACATGAGGTTTGATATAACATCTTAGGATGTATATGTGATAGAATATAGATATGGACTTAGTTAAGGACTTGTGTATTTCAAATAGCCGAGAAGCCTTTGAATGCTTTAGTACGTATGAAGACTTGTAAGACTAGAATAAGACTAGAAGTCAAGTAGTCAAATTGGTGGAAGTTAAGGTCATACCGTTTCATTGGAAATGCCACTTGGGAGAGCGAGGATGTTAAGCGCAAACGTTACCCTAAGTTGTTTGGCTAAGGTAGTATTATTGTTGCAAGGGTGTAACCCCTCTTTAAAGGGTAGACCGTAATACTTCATAAATTTTATTATTAATGATAGCTTATGCTTCGGGGACGAAGCATTCTTTTAAGGAGGACATAATGTGACACTCCGAAAATTTGAAATAAAATAAAATAAATAATTTTATTGGTCAGATAAAATTAGTCAGATAAAATTTTACAAAAGAAACTTTTTTGAATTAAAGTTTATCAGATAAAGTTTTAACATTTGTGACATTTTAGATAAAAATGTTTCAATAATAGGAGTAACTAATAATTATGGAAGTGACATCTTATTTAAGGGAGTGTATAAGTTTTGTAATAATAATAATAATAACAAAATAAGAAAATGTTGAGTTTTCAACCCAATAAACACATGCTACGTACGTAGTATATTTGAGTAGATATGGACTTCTTAAACCTATTTATCTAGTGGGAATGTAATACGGAGTCTATGAACGCATATGCACACAGGAATTCAAACCACTAAACCTACGCTTATACTCCGTAGAAATCTGCGGTTATACACTTACCAAATTCATTATTTTTAAGGCACATGCTTATACTCATACGAATAGCGTCCAGATACATGCCAGTGAAATCCGGGTACGTATACTCAAATAAAACCCATAATAAGGAAAGCTATTAAATATAAATCAATGCAAAAGATCTGCAAACGTATGAAACTGACGAAGCCTACAACAATATATGCTCATGCGAACCATCTCTACACCCTACACACCATATGAGAACGAGCAACGGAGAGAAAAGAAAAGAAAAGACAATAGGAGCGTGAGTAGGGGGGAAGAAGAAACCAGTAGGAGCCGTTGCCACTTGCCAGAGGACAGTTTGAAGTCCTACCGGAGGAAGGGATCGAGCCGCCGAAGGTGGTGGTCATCATGAAGGAGATAGGATGATGCCGGACTGGTGACTACCGGGGCTGCGTAGCCTGCGTTCACACCCGAAGGACCGCCGTAACTCGTTGATGGGGAGCAGGCTGCCGCAAAGATCGCCGGAGGAGACGTCCCCGTTTTCCGCCTTGGCCGTCGACGAGTACATATTGTTCACGTACTGCTACGTCCCTATTGTTTCTCTTTTGTTTTCGAACTGCGTTATTTATTTACTTAGATGGACCGTAGTGTTAATTTGGGGTGGACAATAGTAACAATAATTAGGATTTATAATAAACAATACGTAGTAATATTTTGATAATGATAATTGGGCTAGGATAATTAGATTGATATCTATCACTTTGTCACTTATGTAAAATGATTTTAAAAGGGGAATTAATTGATTTATTATTCATCCGAAATTACAAATGAACAGTTTTATTAATATGGACTAATTAGCTTTTCATAAATTGGATTAAAATGAGTTAAACTAATAGAGTATGTACTGATTGTTACTAGATGGACTACATATTTATATCGGATCGTACTTAATTTGAGGTTTTTAAAATAAAGTGATGATAATTAACCATGAAGATTGATATTAGTAGAATAATTATAGAATTGGATCATCTAAATCTGAACGATTAATTAAAAAAATAAATAAACTCAAACAAGGGGGGTAAATCGAATAATATATTGAGAATGGAATAAATGACTAATTATATTGTCTTAAAAAAGGGTGGTTATTTAGAGGCCGGAATAGAGGAAGAGAATTAGGAGCATTGGATTTGAGGTAAGTTTCTCTGCCGATCCAAAATTGTTTCCTCGTATTATATGCTTATTATGCATTATGTGATTAAGTGTGAATTTTGAATTATGTGTATGTGATTTTGATGAATACAAATCAAGAGTACTTTTTGGGGTATTAAATATTTTTAAATACCTTTGAGATTATTTAGAGAGATTGAGAAATATTTTTAGAAGTGTATCTAAAGCCAAGATAAAATTTACGTTTTCATAAGAAGTGAGCACCGCGGGAGAAATCCGCGGTGTCGGTTTTCCACATCCGGATAAATGTGGAGGGTGATTAGAGCGGCTACTACTAAGAAGAGATTTTTGAGTAACTTTCGGATCGATGATCCCTTTTAAGAAGGAGAGTTGTGGTAGTAGCACTAGTTCCGACGTAAAAGGGCTACTACTGCTAAGGGTGAGAATAAGTTTTCAGTGATAATTGGATCAATGATCCCTTTTTAAGAAGTAGAGTTATAGTAGTAGTCCCTAATCATTCAAGAATTTTAAAGGTGGAGTAGTTGGTAGACTGAGTCCCGATTACTCGTGACGACTTACTACTCGGAGGGCTTGGAATCCCTTTTAGGGGGTGTGCACACTTAAGGTAGTCGTTTCGTTTCCGCAAGAGCAGTTGTGGTACCGGCACTTGTTCGGGGTGGCCGTCCGTAACCACGGTCCACCGGGCTCAATCGAAAGGTTGAGCACCGCCCTTCTAAATTACTAGGAAGTTAGAGAAGAAGATTTTATTTTGAGAAGTTCAAAGAGAAGAGTTACTATAATACGGAGTATTTTTGAAGAAAACTTGTGGATTTTAGTAAAGAAGTGATTTTGAGAAAAATCAAAGAGAAAAGAATTTTGGTGGAGTGTGTTATTTTTATATAGTATTATATGAAAATCTATTTTCGCCAAACTTGATTATTTTACGGGGTTGGGTAGTACTTACTTAGCTCTAAAGCTAATTTTTGTTTCCTTTCCTTTGTTTTGTTTTCTGCACTTTACTTGTGCAGGTGATGACGACTATGTTGATTGTTGATTGCATGCGCTTGAGAGCGGATTAGAGATGCCTTAGAAAAACTTAGTCAAGAATAAACATTTTCATAATGTCGAATATTTGTTTTATTTTATTTTGATTTAGTTGCCTGTGCATTCGGTTAGGAGATGACCGGATGTGGCGGTAACACCCGTTTCCCATTTAATATTATTTCCGCTGCAAAAATTTTTATCTGTTTTGAAAGAATAAATCAATTTTATTATCAATAAATCTATTATTTCAAGTACTATTTTGGGAGGGAAAATGGGGGTGTTACAGGGATGAAGGAGCTGTGCTCGAAGGGCAAACTGCCCAGCCTAAAGACTGTTGAGGTTGGCTTATGCGAGGACTGCATATTCGGGAAACAGAAACGTGTCAATTTCTCGAAGGGAAGACGAGCTATAAAACCGGAGAAGTTGGAACTAGTTCACACCGACCTTTGGGGACCTGCAGAAGTTACATCCTTGGAAGGATCCAGCTACTACATGACCTTTATTGATGATGCCACAAGAAAGGTATGAGTTTATTTTCTCAAAAATAAATCTGATGCCTTTGATGCTTTGGAGGTGGAAAGCTCGTGTTGAGACAAAGACATGTCTGAAATTGAAGTGCCTTCGATCTGACAATGGAGGTGAGTATGAACTGCATGAGTTCAAGAAGTTTGTGCTGAGAATGAGGTTCGTATGGAGAAGACAACTAAATGGACTCCACAGCATAATGGCGTTGCTGAACGCATGAACAGAACACTGAATGAGCGGGCTAGATGCATGAGGTTGAAGAGTGGCTTACCAAAGATGTTTAGGGTGGATGCAGTGAACCTGCGACTTTTCTCATCAACAGAAGTCCAACGATCTCGTTGGATAATGACATACCTGAAGAAAGGTGGACATGTAAGGAGGTCAATCTGTCCTATCTCCGCATATTTGGTTGTGTTGCTAATGTTCAGTCTCAAGGTGGGAGATTGTAAGGTGTTAGAGACTGTATAACCAAAGCTTTTCTTAATTTATTTTTGGAAACATGTTTCTTAATTTATTTTTTGGAAACACATCCTAGTTGCCTTGGGGTTAGGTTTTACTTCTCTATAAATACAAGCTCTCTCCCTTGTAATCGTGTGTGGATCCGAAAATAGAAATAACATTCCTGGCTTGGTAGCGCCCCCAGACGTAGTCATTCGTGACGAACTGGGTTATCAAATTTCGTGTGTTCTTTAATTGTTCTTCGTGTTGCGTAAATTAATTCCTAACAAAAGCGTCGATATGATTATACCTCCAAAAATGGCTTAGATTGACGGCTATGATCACTTTGTATTTTGTAAATTAAGTTGGCTTTGTATATGATCACTTAGTTGTATACCAACTAATTCCATCGATCGACATCAAGAGAATGGAGAAATTTATATTAATTGAATTTGATTATTACGCACTTTAGATGTTTAATCGAAGCAAAAGATATGTGTTACTTTAGATGTTCAACAGATTAAAAAGGTGATGCGTTGGTTTTAAACTTGGCTTTGTAAATGATCACTTAGTTGTAAATTAAGTTGGCTTTGTATATGATCACTTAGTTTTTTTATCATCAAAACAGGCCTCTGTTCATATCAAAAGATTCAAAATCATTACATCAAGCAAAGTGAAAATAAAACTGACACCAACAACTACGACTGTAACCCTATGGTGAGACTTTGAGACGGTCACCCCTGAGAGAGAAACACGAATCGCTAACCATGTACTTCCTCCGTTCCTTTTTAATTGCAACAGTCAACATTTCACGTTTGCCAACGCACAAGTTTGACCATCAATATCTTTCATTCCTTATTAGTAAAAAAATTGAAAAATTCATATTTTGAAAATTTAGAATGAGAAGAATTTAACAATATTTTTTAAAAATTTAATTTATTATACATCAATTAATAAAATGTAGTCAAAGTAGAATATGTGAATAGTGCAAAAAGTCCAATGTTGCAACTAAAAGAGAACGGAGGTAGTAGTAGGTTTGACACAACCAAACCTGTTCACATAGATCCAACCATACCCACTGACATAAAGAGAGGCAAAAAGCTCAAACAAACTGTCAAAACCAACAACAAAAAAGGACATAAGAAAACAAATAACAAACAGATAAAAACTACAAGAAAAACTTTCACGGACTCTAGCACCTTGTACATCCCATGGTGGTGGTTCAGGAGGAGGTCGTACCACCGGTACCATGCTAATTGATCCTCCATGACCTTTGACTGCCAAAAACCATGCATCAATCCTCCGTCCCTGCATAACCAAACTCATCCATGCTCCGTGCGACCAGAGTAAACAGATAGACGGCGCTGATCTTCTCCAACGACAACAACAACGCCACATCGTCGAACCTTGACCACAACACCGATCTCCTCAAGCCATGACAGAAAATCCGCCCTCTTCCATCGTTTTCCGCCCTCCGCGTCTGACCTGGACTCCAACCGAGCACCAATGACCAAGGGATAACAAAGCCGATCTTCGACAAAATCGAAATCGAAATCGAAAAAAAGCCCCAGCGGCTGACATAGTCGAAGCCCTAGAGAGAACTCACAATGAACAAATCAATTATAGAAGCCAAGAATCACATCCGCAGGTCAACCACGATTGCACTGCGAATCAAACAGCACAGTTGGCGACGCTCACACCCCTCGCGTATATGATCACTTAGTTGTAAATTAAGTTGGCTTTGTAAATTAAGTGATCAACGGCTATGATCACTTTGTATTTTGTAAATTAAGTTGGCTTTGTATATGATCAGTCAGTTATATACCAACTAATTCCATCGATCGACATCAAGAGAATGGAGAAATTTATATAAATTGAATTTGATTATTACGCACTTTAGATGTATATGATCCCAATTCCAACTAGATCGACGGCTAATACAATGTACAAAATCCAAATACTAATCAGCGTCCATAATAAATACAACGTACGAATCAAAATCCAAATACTCCCTCCGCCCCCTAACTTTGTCCTGTTTTACCTTTCGTCCGTCCCATTAAGTTTGTCTCCTACCATATTTCTTAATATTTGGGTGGTTACCATTCATTCCTACTTTATTCACACTTTATCAATTCAATATCAACCGCACAATTTCACTTTTTCTTAAAAGTTGTGTCACACCCCTTTTGTTTCAAACATAGTGGGACGGAGTTAGTACAACGTAAATTAATCATTGTCCAAATACAATTGAATAAAATTTGGAGGAAAAGGCATCCAACATACCGATCGACTGAAAGCTGTCTAATGTCTTCGACAATGAGGCCGAAAGGTGAATCTATTGCCCCCATCTTGATACTCTTTATCACATTAACTAGAATTTCACCCGTGCGATGCAAGGCCAAAAAAAATTCAAAAATGTTATTATCATTTTAAAAGGATAATATTTATACAATGTGAGGAACAATTTTTTAAAAGGAGTGATAAAGAATTGATAAATAATTAGACGTTTAGATCAGTAGTAAAACGGAGTAAGAAATGTCACGGATATAAGTATAATATTTATCCAATAGATAAATTTCAACATATTATTTGTAAAACGCCTGATAGGTAATAGCGTGCAACAAATGACAAATGCGATTATCCAATATTGACAACTTTTCCTCACTTTCATTGTCATTGCTTGCACAAATGTCATCCCTTCAAGAGTCTTTCCTACGTGGCAGCACCTACCTGGGAACAAATAATATCTTTTGCAGTGACTTCATTTGAAATGTTTAATTTGATCTTTCAGAATAGCAAATCCATTACAGAAATGGTACAGATTCCTCTTCTGAATTGGACAAATCAGTTCTTAAGCTGGGTTATTCTCAGCTTCAGGTAACCAACTAAACAACCCCCTTTTGTCTCTTATACGGAGTATAAACTTCAGGGAAAGAACAAAATATCTACCTCCAACAAACAGTCCACTTTGGCTGCAAATTTGGCAAATAATGTCATCAGTATAATAAGCAGAATACAAAACAATATGGGAGCCTGTAAACAATCAATAGATACTTACGGAGTAGTTAATCTGATAAAAGTGTAGTCTACGTAAGAATAATTAAAGTATGAATCATACAAAACTTAAATTCTCAATACGTCATCGACTAACTTATATTCTAAATTGTAATTACAGTATATTATGTGGGCATGGTTTGACACTTTGACGGTGATGATACAAAACAGAGATATAAATTATTGAAGGACTCTTAAAATAAAACATACCCAGATTGCTTTCTATATGTGCCGACTTATAACACCTGGAAGTATTGCCAAATAAACGCCACTCGTTGTTTTAGATAAAGTTGCTATCCACCATGTCACGCCCCGGACCTATCCGGACACGTCAACAACCCGCCGTACAGTACGAATAGTCAACCGCAGTCCAACTCATCCATACTATACAAGGCGTCTTGAATACCATTCACACATAGTACATCCATAAACAAGCATAATGTAAAATATTCATTTAAGCAGCGGAAACATTTAATACAAGTGTTTATGCCACACTCGGCAAACATGGGCATACAAGCCCCCGAATGATTATTCAAAAATAATATCCATGAGCATTATTTAGATTGTTTTCAAAACAGAAACGGAAGAAGCACGAACCACGTCTTCTTCCCTTGATCTCCCCGAAGCAACGGGTGGTGGCAGCAACTCTTCAAGTTCTACCTGAAACTGTGAGGTGGCCTCCCCCGTGAAGGGGAGGTCAGTACTTGGAAGCATTTGACAAGTACAATGACAACTATACTAAGTATAATCAATGTTTCAATTTCTTAAGACCCTCAAATAGAGTGATATTATATCGTAGGCCGTAACCCCCGGTTACCCTGTTTTATGAATATACTTACTTTATATAAAGTCAAGTAGTCGGCCCGTGGGCCCATATTCATTTAGAATTTACCATTTTCACTTTCCGTGACCATGAGTCACGACAACCCCATAGGGTTCCCTCGAGTCCCGATTGTATAGCAAGGGCTCGGCCCAACTACATTTCTATACAATCCTTTAACTCAATTTAATATATCTAAATTTGTATGGCAAGGGCTCGGCCCAACTACGTTTCCATACCAACCATAACTTCATGGCAAGGGCTCGGCCCAACTACGTTTCCATGAAGATCACAATGCATGGCAAGGGCTCGGCCCAACTACGTTTCCATGCTAGTCACATTACATGGCAAGGGCTCGGCCCAACGACATTTCCATGTAATCCTAGAGTCCGACTCTAATTTACTTCCATAGCTCAATTCTCAAGCAAATCCTATGCCTAGAATCAATTCACTTGGATAGCCTTTTGGCCTACCCCTAACACACCGTAGTGTTCATACAATTTGACCTTAAAGCATCTCTTAAGACTACTTAAGGCATATCTATTCACAATCCTATCTCTTAGGATTAATTCCATCATTTATTTATATAAATCTCCCGACTAGTATTTCGATACTAGTCGAATAACCTTAGAACAACCAAGTTCTAAGTTCATAGCCAAATGGTTTATCTCAATTGATTTTCCAATCCAAATATGATTTAATCCCAATATCAAAAATATCACTTTTATCCATTCATGAATTTCATACATGAAGTAAAAGTATATTTTATCACAATTTTCATAGTTAATTCCATTACCATACCATTTCTTTCATATCACATAATCATACACAATTTCTTACAAATTTGTATATTATGCTCTTTTCCTTATAGACAATAGTCTTCTCATTCTTAGGCATTATTAATCATTAATAATCCTTAAAAACATATTTAATTACCTTAGGTAATCTCATGAAATTAACCCAAAGATTATAAGCAATATAGTCAGCCATCCTCACCTTATGAAGTGCTGAAATAGTTGCCTTTGTTAAGCCTTTCGATCAATCCCCGTTCTAAACCGATTGGAAGTGGAAAATCTGACCAGCAGACGAAAGCCGGGCGGCTTTTGCCAAAGGTGGGCGGCTTTCGTGGTCTGCAGCTACGAACAGCTCCCTACAAGTGGCGGTTTCCGGCGATTCCGACTCCTATCGATTCACCAACTCTTCTAAGTTAAATACCACCACTTTATAACATTATTCTCCACTTTTAAACGTGTAGAACTTCATGTTTAATCCACCATATGATTTCTTAAAAATCATACAAAATAATACTAGTTAAAAGATAATACTTGTGTTCTTACCTCAAGAACAACTCTTTTCTCCTTGGATTTCTTTTGTGGATGTTGCCTTCAATCTTGGACCTTGTTGAAGACTTTCCCTTGAGCTCTCTCTTGCCTTGTATGGTTCGAATGGCTCTCAATGATAGGGGGGAGGTATCTACTCTCAATCAAAGACCAAGAATAGTACTAAGAGAGGACATGGGGTGTATGGGTTTGTCTCTACCCATCCCCTCACTCACTAGTCCGCACATGCCACTCAATTCATGTTCCTCCAGCTACCCTTTAGTCAACTAGTGCATACAAAAACGTGGGGTGGCCCCCACTCGCGTGGGAGGTCATCCCATTATGCCCCGGTGTGTACAACCGGCCCCGAAAGTTGTATTTCTCGGACTGTCTTAACTATATTTTATTTTATCGGGCCAAATAAAATATATCACGCGTTCCTCATAATCATGGGCCTTTAGAGAAGATGTATGTTCCCCAACATTAATTTAGGAGTCCCCGAAATTCATTTCGGGCTGTTATCCGATAAATTACCAATACCGGTAATTGGGCCTCGTTTGACCAACAGGTCAACTCCATGCCCTTTCCATGGCCCATCTAAATATTTGGGAGTCCATTTCCATTATTAGGGACCCGATAAATAATTTAATTAATCACGCATTAATTAAATATACCAATTCCATTACACGATTTTATTCGTTAGGAAATTTAAGTACATATCAAATTTCGAATCCACGTACATCCGGGTGCGGTGTCACACACCATCTCATGCAACAATGTTGAAGCATGAGATTTTCTTTTCAGCCATCCAAGAGTAATACTGAAAAGTGTATCCATAAATTTGCAGCTAACTGATATCTACACAGTACACGATTCTGTGTTGCTGCTTCTTTTCTACAATAAGGACACATTGGTGAAAGAGGGTTGCTAAATCTTTTTTCCCACAGACTTTACGGCATAATTTCCCCCCCGCACACAATAAGGTCATTTGCCATTAAAGAAACATTATTTCACTCAGATTTCGGAATAGGTATTTGAGCAAATGTCTAATTTTGCCATACATTGCAAATTAGCAGAGATCTTGGGGGGGATTTAGAACGATTAAACCTTACCAGCCCAATCATAGGATTCATCTAGGATTGACCTCATTGGGAGAATTGTTATAGGCAGCCATTGATCCATAGAAGGGCTTAAGGTTGCACCTGACCTCTCGAACCCAGGGGATTGCTAGAGGGTTGTAAAAACCAAGCGCTTCCCGATGCTTGCCGTCCCTGGGAGATCTCTGCACCCAGAACCTGGGGGAATTGCTAGAGGGTTGCACCAGACCACTCGTCCTTCCAGATTCTCGAACCCCAGTCCAACTCTCATGACGCCCGCTGGCGGAAGATCAGCTTTCGATCCATCTACAGCCAAAGATCGATAGATTTGATTTGGATGCAATATAATTATTCATAGTATTTTTTACAATGTTCAAAAGGGTAGATAAGAGGCCATCTTTATCGCTCCATATTTCTTTATGACATATGAATATACAATGGATAACCAAAAAGATATCACAATCAATGTTGGGTAGTGGATTCTGACACAATGGCACCTTTCTCGTCACCCAAAGTGCAGTAATTACTCCATACTCCGTATTTGATACTCCTTATTACTTCACTTTAACCAACAAATACAACACAGTGATAGTCACATAGACCCGACCCAGTCTCTAACCCGTATCTTTTGGAGGGAAAATGGCTAGATTTTCCACTTCTTTATATATATATATATATAGACAAAAGTTCATGTCCGGAATTCCGGACAGGAACCGCCGTCCGGACGGCGGCGTTTGGCCGCCTTCCCGGTGGAATTTTTTGATGAAATTTTTATGGAATGTTCTCCATCAAGTCTAGTTTATCCACAAAAAAATTCAGCCAAAAACTCAATCGGGAAGGTCGTCAAATGATTTTTGCAAGTTAACTGGTTCGGAATATGTATTTTCCGGACCAGTTAACTTGCAAAAATCATTTGATGACCTTCCCGAATGAGTTTTTGGCTGAATTTTTTTGTAGATAAACTAGACTTGATGGAGAACATGTCATAAAAATTTCATTGAAAAATTCCACCCGGAAGGCGGCCAAACGCCGCCGTCCGGACGGCGGTTCCGGTCAGGAATTCCTGACCGGAAGAGTACTCTATATATATATATATATATATATATATATATATATATATATATATATATATATATATATATATATATATAGAATAGAGATCAAATACAAAGCCTTCTTAATTTACAAAGTACAAACTCATCTTGACCGTCCGATGAGTTGATCCAAAGGACATAAAGGCAAGGTGGCATTTTTGTAATAAAACCCAACTTTTTAGGGTGCAACTCGTTGCACCTTTAATGTGCAACTGTTATTTTTATGACTTTATAATGTGCAATACTTTGAACCTCAATATGCAATGCAAATAACGTCAAGGTGCATCGTACAAATATTTGCACAATAAGCACACTTTGTACTTGATCTTTCCCCTATATATATATATATATATATATATATATATATATATATAGAGTACTCTTCCGGTCAGGAATTCCTGACCGGAACCGCCGTCCGGACGGCAGCGTTTGGCCGTCTTCCGGGTGGAATTTTTTGATGAAATTTTTATGACATGTTCTTCATCAAGTCTAGTTTATCCACAAAAAAACACAGCCAAAAACTCATTCGGGAAGGTCGTCAAATGATTTTTGCAAGTTAACTGGTCCGGAAAATACATATTCCGGACGAGTTAACTTGCAAAAATCATTTGACAACTTTCCCGATTGAGTTTTTGGCTTAATTTTTTGTGGATAAACTAGACTTGATGGAGAACATGCCATAAAAATTTCATCAAAAAATGTCACCGGGAAGGCGGCCAAACGCCACCGTCCGGATGGCGGTTCCTGTCCGGAATTCCGGACATGAATAAATCTCTCTCTCTCTCTCTCTCTATATATATATATATATATATATATATATATATATATATATATATATATATATATATATATATATATATATATATATATATATATATATATATATATATATACTGTTCCTACTAAGTTCCTACTTATAGGCTTTATATATGTTGAGTTTAATCCAACACGATATAGTAAATATATGTATCAATGTGTATGAACAAACTATTTTTACGTGGAAACCCGAAAGGGAGAAAACCACGGGACTTTTTAGGCTAATGTCCAAGCCCTCTCCTTCTCATTAGGACTCTTCTCACCATTACATTGTACAATTTGAGCTCCATTTATGGAGTATTGAGCTAGCTAGCTAGAGAGAAGTAAGGAAGAAGAAGCTAAGGAAGGGATCCCCAAAACATGGAGGGAAGCCTCATATTTATAGGGGAAAGGGGAAGGGTGCTCTCCACCCTAATGGGCCAAATACGGGCCTACTGGGCCAAGGTGGGCCGGATGGCCAGAATGGGCCGAAACGGGCCTTACCGGACGGGCTCCGTACTATATCAAGTCTTGGGCTCCTGAACAGTAACGGACCGGGATAATATATCCCAACAATATATATACTCCCTCCGTCCCTCTATTAAGTTCCTACTTTGAACTACACACATATTTAGAAAATAAATTTGACTTTACTGTTTAGACACTGTTTGGCACTGTTTAGACACTATTTGGCACTGTTTTGCACTGTTTTTATGTAGGATAACTTTACATTTATGAAAATAAGAAGATTATTTTGGGACGGCCCAAAAAAAATAGCAAGTTAATAGCGGGATGGAGGGAGTATTTATATACTAGGTATATAGATAGATAGCGACTGATTCTACGTCAACACTATCCCAACCAATTTTGGGATGGTCTAGTAGTCTAGATAGATAGATAGATAGCGACTGATTCACATGCTTTACAGTTTTTAAAAGTAAAGATTATTAAATTCCCCCAACTACCGGTCAGTCCAGTAGTCTACAAAGGAGTTCTACCGCACAGCAATGGCAAGAAACCAGAATGGAGGAGGGGTTGCTGTTGTTGAAGGCGAGAGAAGAGGGTGGTCGGATAGGGTTGGGGTCTGTTTGGGCGGAGGTGAGGAGGTTAGGGTACTTGGCAGGTCCAATGGCGGCTGTGACTTTATCTCAGTATCTATTACCCATCATCTCTGTTATGATCGTTGGGCATTTGGGTGAGCTTTATCTCTCCAGCACCTCCATTGCTGTCTCTATTGCTGGTGTCACTGGGTTCAGTTTTATGGTGGGTACACATTCTTTTCAATTACATTTCTTCAAAAGATTGCTCTTTTTCATTCATTGATAGTTAATCTTTATGCGTTTGTTGGCCATACTTCAAGGCTCCGTTTGATTGTACGAAAATAAGTTGATGTAGAAAATGTATTTCTTTGCACATGTTTGTTTCCCTGTAATATATTGTACATTGAAAATGTTTCTCTGAAGATTAAGAAATTAAGATGTTCTCTACCTATAAATGTTTAGTCCACACAAAAATACAAAACACCAAGCGGTTTCAAGAAAATGGCTTTTGTTCTTGAAACGATATGTTTATTTTCAACAAAATTTCGGACAGTGAAGGAAAATAATCTCTACTGCAATTCTTCGAAGCAAATGTTTTTCCTATTGCAATTCTTGCTTGCTTTTGGCACGAGATTAAGGGTCTGTTTTCAACAGCTTCTGCTTTTAAAAAGTGTTTGTTTAATGAAATGGGGAGAAGTGATTAAATAAAAGTTGATAGTGTTTGAGAAAAAAGTGATTTTGAAAAGTAAAAGTAGGTAGTGTTTGGTAAAATAAGTGCTTTTTGTGTAATAGAAAAAGTAAAAGCACTTTTGACGCGGAAGCCGAGAAAAATAAAAGTTGTAATGTTTGGGAAAATAAGTGCTTTTTTAAAGGCAAAAGTTGAGAAGTGCTTTTTTAAAATAGTTGCAAACCAACCCTAAGTAAGAAAAATTGTGCTGTTAAAACTTAGTTAGGAAAAGGTGAAATCCTTCTAAGATAGCATATATGCAATATAACAGTACCAAAAGTCTTATAATTGTATTTTTTTTCAATTTATTATTGTCAGGTAAACAGATATGTAACATTGTTCATTCATTATAAACCTGGCATGGAAAACTCAATTATTCACAGGACAAAGATTCTGGCTTTTCTTTTCTGTTAGTTGATAGAAAGGACTAAAGTGCGTATTGATAGAACAGTTTTTGGTACATTCTGTTAGAAACACATGCATTACAGACATACCCCAGGGGCGGAGGTGGAGGGGTGGCCAACCGGGCCACGGCGCAGCCCAAATTTTAAAATTGTTTATATTTTTAATGTAAAAATTTATGTGTAAATTAAAAATTCTTTGTAGTGGCCCAACCCAACTCTTACTCCTGACTACGCCCCTTTCACATACGCGTATAGTTCTTTTGTTATAATATGAACCTGTAATTTTGAATAGGAAGTGATAAAGCAAAGCAGTAATGCTACTGCCTACTGTGCTAGATATTTGAGGAATGTATATAGAGTGTAGAGACAAAGGGCTCCAGACATGATTCCATATACTGTCATAAAATAATCTTAGAATGCCATACGAGAAGAATTAGGAGAGAACGATGGGCTTAATAAGACCTTGGGTTGAACTAGCAAACAAATTAAATTCAATGTTATGGTCCTGTTGAATGATTTTAACCGTCAAACTCGATCCTGAATTTTCCAAATTAATAACATTATGATATTGAAAATCATAACGGAATAGATATTATAACTTCTCCTATTCTGACATCTTCTAACATTTTGAAATACAAAAGCTCTGTGTTACTAACTGTAATAATTCTGTTTAACTTATGATATATTCCGTATTTTTTTCGAACAGTTAGGAATGGCATGTGCTCTAGAAACACTTTGTGGGCAGGCATATGGAGCCAAACAGTACCGTAAACTTGGAAGACAAATGTACACTGCCATTTTCTGCCTTTTTATCATATCCATCCCCCTCGCGATCTTGTGGACCCAAATGGGGAAAGTGCTAATCTTCATAGGCCAAGATCCTCTTATCGCATAAGAAACCAGAAGGTTCTTAAAGTGGCTCATTCCGGCCTTGTTCGCTTATTCGACCTTATAGCCTCTCATACGTTTTTTCAGGTGCAAAGTATGATCTTTCCCTTGCTCATGAGCTCATTCATAACAATGTGCTTCCACGTGGCTCTATGTTGGGTGCTGGTTTTTAAGTCTGGTTTGAGTAATCTTGGGGCTGCTATCGCTTTTAGTGTGTCTCTGTGGGTGAATGTGGTAATCCTTTCTTTATGCATGAGGTTCTCCCCTGCTTGTGACAAAACTCGTTCAACTGTTTCACGGGAAATCTTTCATGGAGTGAAGGAGTTTTTCAGATATGCCATTCCGTCAGCTATCATGATCTGGTAATCTGTCCACCTCCTCCTCACTCCGTGTAGTATATTACGTGTAATGCAACGCCATCATGACGACCACTGTTTTAATCCCAACAACATTGGTGTCCCTTGTAGTAAAACTTATAATGTTAATTAGACATCAAAATTTTTT